ATATATATATTAAAATATCATTTTCAAAGGGATTCCCTTTGTAACAACAAATCAAAGGGAACAGTTTTCAGGTGAAATCTGGACGAGAATCAGCAAAACAGTTTTTGTTATTGCTTGAATCATCCGTGAATGAAGATGACTATACGATATGGAGTACTCTTAATTCAGGTAAAATTCTCTAGAAAAAATTTTTGATATACCATTAGATCAGAAATTAAATCGTATTTCTTTTTGGTTCGCTCCTTTTTCAAGTATTATCGTTTCAGGCATTGCCGAGCTGTCAAATATATTGTCACATTATGATCCCACTATGCATTCAAAATTTAATAAATTTATTGTTAAAATTTTAACACCAGTGGCCGGACGACTTGGTTGGGAAGCTAAACCAAATGAAGGTACGTTTGGGAAATTGTACATTTTTCGAAAATGAACAAAAACAATTTATCATTCGTGAAAGAAATCTTTGTATTTTTATTATACGAAAGTGATTCTTGCATATAAATTTTGTTGCTATTTAAAAAAACACGGGATTTTCAAAGATTACATGAGGTCATACCATTTACGAGTATTTTATTTCATAATATCATTTCAGATTCTCAAATAGCATTGCTGCGAGCGCTGATTCTTGGCCGATTGGGTCGTTGTGACCATGAAGAAACTATTAAAACCGCTAGACAGAAGTTTCTAGAGCATATCAAAAGCAAAACCGAACTTCATCCGGATTTGCGACCTATGGTATGTTTGTAAATAAGATTTTTTATCCAGTGAAATCATTCATTTTATGGAAGAAAAATTTAGCTTCGATGTTTTGTCATACAGAACTTAATTATTTACAGATATATGGAATGGTGGGAAGGCATTATGGCAAAGAGGGATTTCAAGAATTGAAAGAGGTTACCCATTCTATATTTAATTTGAGGAGGACTTTAGCTTGTCCCATTAACATTACTTTACTTTTGTAATCGGTTAACAGTGCATCCTTCTACCTGTAAGAAAAGATGACTTGAAGTACGGATCTTATTTCTCATTACAACACAGTTTAGTTTACCTCAAGTTTCCTTTTCTTTTTCTTTATACCAGAAAGGATTGCTAGTAAAAGGATTTCTTGCAATTCAGCTTGTGATGTGTCATATTTCGTTATAACGACTAGTAATTGAATCCTAATTAGAATTGCATGTCACTTAGTTTTGAAATCCATCATTCTTTGTTAATAGTAGTCTTGATTTTCTTGACGAATTTGTTACGATAGTCTTGCAGATTTACGAAACCGTAGGATTCGGTGAAGTAGAGCGAAACTGTATTGTTGCAATGTCGCAAACAACCGATGTAGAATTGTTGAAGGAAGTTTTCGAATACGGCATTAAAAATGTAATATTCTTTATTTATGTTAGCTTGTAGATAATTGCTGTCAATAGTGTTGTCTGAAAGTGACATTCAGCTTTGTGCAACTTTTAGATAGGTAAGTATTAAAAAAAAAAAACAAGTAGAATAAATCCTTTGTTGTTGAGAGAAAAACTCGGAATTTTGGAGGAATTTTCTGGAACTTCCTCATCTTTTTTTCTTTTCTTGGTTAGGATGAGTCTTGATGTTTTATATCCCATTATTATACAGATGTTATTATAAAATTCACTTTCAATAAAAAATATTTTAGGGCAAAGTTCGCTCGCAGGATATCATTTCTCTTTTCTGTGGTGCTTGTGTGAGTAAATCCGGGCAAGATTTCTTGTGGAAATATTTCAAAGTGAATACTTTTGATTTTCGAAAAATGACGCATTTTTTTAAATACCTTGCAAGGCTTGAAAGAAAAGCTATCGGGTTTAGAGAAAAATAATGTTTTCTTTTTCAGGACTCTACCAAACTACTTCTTCAAAAATTTGGCGGCGCAAACAGTTCGCTTTTTCAGCGTTGTTTCAAATTTAGTGCTGAATGTCAGTGCTCCAGTACAATGGCGAAAGAAGTTGAGGTCAAAACTATAGTAATTTTCACGATAGGATTGAAAAGCCAGAATGTTGTAATAAATTGATAGCATTTTTTGAAAGATATGAACTATATATCCACAACTACAAGTTTGGTTTACTTTCTTTTTCTTCAAAAAGCCCAGTTTTACAGAATTTGGCCGTGACTGAACAAGAACAAATTAATTTGATTAGTTTGGTAATTCAGGACTTTGTGTGCTCGTGTCTGGCAGCAGATGAAGTTCGAACGCTTAATCGTACTACGCAGCAAATCATTGAATCAATTCATTTGAACGAGCAGTTATTGAAGCGCAATGTGGACGTTATCAATGAATACCTTACTGCTGGAGGTTTCTGAAGTAAATCTTTCTCATACTCAGGAGAATGGATTTCGGTTAATTTTTATTTTTCTCGAGTTGCTTGGCATTACTATAGGTTATTTTCGAAATATTTAATTTGAAGTTTGGAAGAGGAATTTATAAAAGTCCCTCTAGAATGAAGTAGTTCACATAACTGTTGTGATGAATTCCAATCACGTTATTTCATCCCTTCAAAATGTTCCTTATTTACCTTAAAGGGCATTCTTTTATCCCTTCATCTAGCGTTTCAAATTTCATATTTTATAATGTTTTTTAAATCTGTTAAGCTTTTCGATTTTTTGAGAATATTATCGAAAATAAGAGCATTGAAAGCATTTTAAGAATTAATTATTGTTGAGTTGGAATTTTCGTTCCATTTGCTGATTGGCATTTCATGCTTTATTCAATAAACTTTGATTTAAATTTCAAGTTGTGACTTTCTAGCTATTTTATAAACAGGCTTTGTTAGTCTAACATAAAGAAACTTTTCGAGTAAATTTCCTTGATTATAACTATCAAATATAAGAAGGGGCATAGTTTCGTTCTTTTTAATTTATTTACAAGAAATGATGAAAAATTACATTTGATTATTATGCATTATTAATAACTGAGGAATGTTCTGGTTGTTGACATATATTCCGGCGGCAACGGTGTTACCGACTGTGATATTGTATTGCTACCTGGTCGCGGTGGTTGTTCGAAGACATTTTGGAAAACTGGAATCGTCGGGTATGAACTTGTTTGACTGCTGGAACGTTTTCCTGTGTCCTGGAATGAAATTGTTTGTTGAAGAAACAAAATTGGGTTTTGCAACTTTTTTGCGACTGATTCGATAAAAAACCAAACTAACTAAACTAGAATATGAAGTGCCTTACTTAAATTATATTAGCTAATTCAGTCATGGACGATGTCCACTCATGCTCTTTTTTTATCTTTCCTGTCTTAAAACTTTCGAGAAAATTTGGTTTGAAATTATTGATTGTAGAAATATGCTCTATAAAAGTAATCAAAATCACCTCTGGTTTCTTCATGCCTACGAAGGATCGCCACGATGATGGACTAGAATTTTTAAGTTTTGCTTCTTCTTTTGCTTCTTCTACATAATTGCGCCCGCTTTTTGTGAAAAATATATAACTTGTTATCATAACGCCAGCCAATAAGCTAAACATCAGAAACATGCATGCTAATCCGGCAAGGTAGAACGAATAACCGTATTCCTTCTGGAATAAAGATTTATTTGAATTTTTATCGTTTTATCTTATTCATTTATTTAGATATTCTTTTTATCAATCAGTTATAAGTGGGAGGTTTCAACACCTGGATATTTTCAAAACAAATGAATAGCTAGATTTTAAAGTCAGTAAAATCTTATTAATATATGTATGTTAATTTTTCTAAATTATAAGAGTGTTAACAAATCATGAAATTTTTTCATTCGTTATAAAAATAAGCAATTCTAGATGTTCCGATATACGCACCGAGTAATATTTAATTCAAGTAGTAACACGATTTAAAATGTATCAAACGTACTTTGAATGTATTTTTGATGCCAATCAGAAAACGTGATTCCAACATTTCGGCATTAATCATGAAAACAGCCAATCCCACTGATAAAAATAGGACTGAAAATAATCATACAGTTCAACTGTTATGATAATGTGTATTATCGATGTAGTAATTGATTTCATATAGTAATTCAGCGCTAATTTAATATCTCAATATTTCAAAATTCATAATTTCATTCCTAGTCACAATAAGTACAATTCGAAAAATTCCAGCATAATGTACCCATTTCTTAAGTTGGAAAAGTAAAAATTAGATGAAATAATTTATTAGCTTACAGGATAAGAAGCTGAAAAGAATGAAAATAATTGTAAGTAATCGAATTCTGTTCACTCGAAATATACTAAACGTTAGTAATCCGATGGCAATAAGGCCAAATGCGAAAGCAAGCAAAAGTAGAGTGAGAACAGCATAATGCCATCCTGAAAACAAAAAGATGAAAATTTTCGGCAAGCTATTGGAAATTTTCACTATTAAATTGAAACATAGAAGTTGACTAAATATGAAAGTACAGAATGAGAATAAGCAAGAGAAGATTTTGATGTTTAAATTACTAAAATATTGTATAAATTAAATTTACCAAAGAAATATGGAGTTTTGATGAGCTTTTTACGGCAATCACCGATTAAAAGAAATCGGCAAACATCAACTTTTTCGTAGTAATTAATGAGATTATCACTAAAAATATACCAACATGGTACACCACCGGGACAATACATCCATAAACCACTTTGCATATATCGATGAGCATCTGTATCTTCTGCTACCTTAAAATTCATTCATTATTTTAAATGAAATTAGCTAGAAGAAAATTAAAATTGAAAGTTTAAAATTTTAATGATAAAAATAAAAGAAGAAAGTTGAAATTACCTGCCATGCGGGAGTTAATAAAGCAATAAATAATAAAAAGATGCCAATACATAGAGGAATAAGGGCCATAACTTGAATTTTTAGCAATGAATTCGACCATTCCAATTTCATCTTTGTAGAATATCTTCAGACTCTTTTTTTTTCTTTCAAATTATTTTTCAAATTTTGTTGAAAACATATTGCTATGTTTTAGAATCATCATTTCATGATGATATAAAAATCCTACAAACAATGAAAATATCAAAAGATTGATAATATTTATTATTACACGCTTGAAGTATTAATTGAATTGTGATAGTAAGCAATTGGTGTCACTAAGGTTCAGATCGTATTTCAAAAACGTCTATAGCAGATAATCTTTACAAACGTTTATTTGATGATTAAGATAATTAATGATTGATTGATATAATAGCCGTATGAATGAGAAAATATGATGTGAAAATTTAATAAGAAAAATTTTTCACATATTGAATGAATTAATTTAATAAGGGGAAATATGTTAATAGTAAATTAAGAATCAAAAAATTTCAATAATATTTAAATTTCAAATGAAGAAGCCATTTTTGTGTTTATTAAAATTTTTGATAATATAAAAAGAGAGTCTTAAAAATTCGAACTTTCATTTCTCATTTCTTTCAATGCAGAAAAATAATTTCTTTCATTTAAAGAAGAGGAAAAAGATGATCGAATATATCAAATAATAATTAATTACGTCGATGATATTGAGATTAATTGATGATACACAGTGATGATTATTTCTTCTTTATTCCATCATTCTTTATGATAGATAAGAAAAGAATTTGTCTATATTAAAATTGAATATGTTATCATTGATTAATAGATAATAAAACGCAAATTAAACATTGCATGAGAAGAATATTCAATGATCATAATTGATAATTATTCCAGTGATTATCTTCTTGTCATAATACTTTTCGCATTTCGCACAATTTAATATATTAAAAATTGATTTTAAATTTATCATAAAAAGACTCTAAAATTTAGGTCGCAGTTGAACGTATAGGAAGAATAAGCATAGTTGAAATTCTCTAAGTCTATAAAATAAACTAATTAAATATCAGTTTTAAAAGATATTGTTGAATTTCGATAGAAATGAAATATAAGTGAAAAATGATTGTCTGAAAATCAAATTATTATAGTTTTTGCCTCACTAATAGCGAAATTTATTATAGTGATTAAAGAAACAAGAAACCGAGAATCGGAATCAAAACATTCCAATTGATTTTTCTTTGCCGGAATAAATAACATTAATAGCCGAACGAGCGATGATTTGTCTACGGGTATTTTAGGCGGATAAAAAAGTTTAAGTTCCTAAAAATCTGCAACATTTAATAGTAATCAAAAAGTTCAAGATAATTCTGCAAAGGTGAAATAAATCTAATTGAATTCCACAGAACAAAGAACAAGTAAGCGCATAAAATTTATAATAATTTCAATTCAGGTATGATATCAGGTAAGTAAGAAAAAACAAAATGTTTAAAGTTGTAAATAAAAATAATTGAAATTTTAATTTTCCAAGAATAGAAAAGAAATAGCTGGAAATTATGAAAGCTGCAATCAAATGATGAAATGTAAAAAAGGTACGATAGGTCTCCTTGGTAACATTCATTTAAAAAAAAATGCCAACTTGGCTAGTGACCTAGCAAATTATCGGAGATATAGGAAGAAATGCAAGAAGCATATAAATTGTTAGAAAATAAATACTCCCCCTATATATATATATGTGACACAAACAAATGTTATCAGTTCTGAAAATATTGACAAATTCAACAACATTCAAGTTTTTCCCATCATCTATTGAATTTCGAAATGATTCGAACAAAGATTACAGCTATGTTGTGTAGATGCAATGATATAGCAATGCATCAAATATCAATAATATATGGAATAAATTATTGATTTATTAAATTTAATTCAAAATTCATTTTTTCAATTGTTCTGAACAATACGAAAGATCGAAAGTGATAAATGAAATGATCAATGATGATAAATTTTTGATTGATAAATAACTTTTCAATTTATTCAAAACAAAGATGATTTAGTTTACGGAATACGTTTGTTACATGAGTTATGCATTCTTACATATGTATATATTAAGGTGTGTAATTTCTATCATTATAGGAATGAATAATGAGCATTCATAACATTAACCTATGCTAATTAAAAATTAGTTTAAAAAAGATATACAAATAATTTTTGCGGACTATCCCATTCGTACATCATAAATATTCGTTTAGAAATTATTTAAAAAATTTATTTCAAGCCCGGAAATTATTCATGATAAATCTTTAGATTATTTATTAATTCATCGGAGACTTTCTGAAACTTATTTATCATCAATCTAGCTTGATATAAACAAGAGAATAAGAGAAAGAAAAATAGTTTGTGAAATATTAAATTGTAAAAGTTAATTGAATAGAATGACTGAGTAAGAGAGTGTTTGAATAATGGTAAAGAGAAAAAGTTTCAGAAACAATAACTTCTATTTCAAAAATTCATGTTTAAAAATGCTAGATGGAACGTTCAATATTTTGATGTTCCGTTTTAGAAAAATAATCTAAAATTCATCAAAATGGAAAGCTGCGATAGGCAAATCAAATGAGATGACCAGTGACTGTTGAAATGGTGACAGTTTTACTGACGATAGTGTTGTATTTACATCATTGAAAAATATATGAAAATAGTGGAAGAGAAAGAGAGAGAGAGAGAGAGAGATATTTCGTTTCTAAAATGCTATATGAAAAGACATGACAACATATCGTGCCAACAATTGAGGAATAAAATTTCATTCACAAAATTTTATTTTATCGATCGATCATATTAGGAGGTTATTGCCATTAAAATTTCCACACAAACTTTCATTTATATTACACTAGGATTTTCACTTTTTCTTCTTTAAAATTTAAATTAATTTCATTGATATAAATTTGATCCGATATTTTTAAGATAATTTTAAAATGCCGAAATTTCTAATGTAATATGATTAAGACAGAAATTAGGCCATTACTTTTTCCACTTGTCCTACAATTTTCGCATTAAATCTAAACTAGTTCAATTATTTATTAAGAAGTATTGAATATTGAATGCTGTAATTTCAATACAGATTAATTCATATATGAAAGCCAATAGCAACAATTGTTTTCAGAAACCATTGATTTAAAAAAACATTTTATTAGGCTAAATCATCATAGTTAGCACATAAATGTTTATATTATCATCGTTTCCGATATTTTTGAGGGAGTTCAGGTAAGGCACGCATTGCGAAAAAATCTTCTTGAGGATGATGATATTGATAAGCCTAAAAAAATTTGATCTTATTGTTATTGATAAACCGAATGTTGATAAGGTTAAAAATTTGATTTCATTGTTGTTGATAAGCCTAAATTTTTAATTTTATTGTTGTTGATAAGCCTAAAAAATTTGTTCTTGCCGCCGATATTTCATCATTTCCGTTTGTTGGAAATTTTGAAAATAAATAAATAAAAATTAAAAGTAATAAAACATTAAAATCCGCTGCGCAAAAAAAAAAAACAAAGTAATAACTTTTGAACAAAACAGAATTTTATTAAGTAAACAAATAGAAATGTTGGATAAAATAAATAAACAAATAATTTACTATTATTATTATTATTATTATTATTATTATTATTGATGACCTGATGTACTGAAAAAACATTTTGATTTGCTCGTATTGAATTGTTACTTTGAGAGGATCGATAAAGCATTATTATATAGGCCAATGAGAATACGAAAGACAATAATAGCAAAATTGAACTTATGAGGTGTAAAAAATACGAATAACCAACATGCTTCTGAAATTACTCAATTTTATTCCAAAATATCATCGAAAAGTTCTAAGACCAAAAATATCAAACAAAAATTCAATAACTTACCTCATAGATACCACTAACGCTAACATGATAGAATCTATACTGCAGCATATGAGCAAATATTTGAAATGCTATATTACAGCCAATATTGATTAATGCTGAAATTAAATAATAAATAACGAAAAACAAAAAGATTAAAATGATTTCAAAAAAAAATTGGGGGAAATTTACAAACCAACCAGAAATGCCAATTGCAATGGTAAATAAAAATTGAGCGCTTTTGTTAACATCTGCCATTAATGAATAACAAAAGCAAATCATTGCAAATAGAGCCAAAAATTGACTAAATAATAATATATACAATAAGGTATGTTGCCAACCTGAAAATTTTTTCATATTATTAAATAGCAAATTAATGAAATGAATTAATTAATGATAATTTGTTGTCATAATTAATTAAAATTAATTAAAGAAGTTGAAAGGGAGGGAATCATAAATATGAAGATTGTACAGATGATTGGTATATGAACAATATGACAATTATATGACAATTATCAAGTGAACAAGATGTATAATCATCAGAAATAATAGATGAAATAAATTATAAACTAACTATAAAATGCAGGTGTTCGAATGCTGACCAATTGTGGACTTGAATAAAAATCAATATCACTCTTAGTGAATGAATAAGTACAGGAGATCATTCCAGCTGGCCTATAAAATGGGCAAATTATGAAGATGCAAGAAGATGAATGAAAAGGTGGTCTGATGTTTTCTGGGGACTAGAAATTATAATTATTATATATCATCGCTAAAATTTCAATAAGTTATTAGATTTGATAAGCTCTTTTTCCATCGAAATGATAATTCATATTTAACATTCACATTTTCAGAATTAATTTTGAATATAAGAGAATTAAAATTGAAATCAATAACATGCCTCGTTTGACAATTCATCCATAACCCGCTCTGCATCCATTGTTGCAATTCCCGCATATAAACTACCTAAATGAAAGATTCGTTGAAAATAACTAGCGATTGTTTTTCTTCAGCTAATAATTCATACTAATTATCATTCATTTAGGAGCAAGAAAAGAAGTGATTCAAAGTTCAGTAATATTAGTTTAGTATTTCACTATATATATTATGCTTATCGTACTACAATAAAACTATACATTAATGCAGGTATACTGTATAAGCATACAGTAGCAAGTATATTTTAATAAACATACGATATAAATTTGAATTGAATATTTTCGAAAATTTTTACACTTCAATTGCTTTCCGAAGGTGAAATTTTTTTAAAGTATTACAAGAAAAAAAAGAAATGCTTCACCTGCCATGCCGGTGTTGCCAGAGCTACAAAATTGATAATTATACCGATCAATGCAAAAATAAATGAAGGAATTTGTAGTGTTGCTCGTGCGGGTAACATTTGAGAGGAGTATAATTTACAGGATTAGTAATAAAGAAATAATGATTAATATTTAGAATATTTTATAGATACTGTAGCTAAAAACAGGTACTACCGGGTGGTTTCAATTTTGACATCTAATTATTAGTATCTAATGAAAATTGAATAAACCCATATTCGTATACATTTTCTTTCGCAATAATCTGAAAAGATAGCTAAAAGATAGAAATAATAGCAAATATTATATTTCAATTATTTTCATGGAAATTAAAAAATCGGAATTTATTGAAATGTCGTAGAAATATTTCTTCATTTATTTTCCTCTTTGTTGAAATAAGGAAGATTATGAATTAAAGGGAAAAAGAATATCTCTTAAAGTATATTAAAATGATATATGAAGGAATTTTCTAGAAGTTCATTTATAAAATTACAACATTTCAAAATCATTTAATTATTTGTAAAAAGAAAGATAAAATTAGCATTGTGAACAAATTTACTAAACGATATTAATCAATGATGATGATCATCATCTATGAAGTGGTAGATTAAATAGCTAAACGAAATTAATCAGTGGTGATCATCATCTATGAAGTGATAGATTAAATTGCTAAACGAAATTAATCAATGATGATGATCATCATCATCTATGAAGTGGTAGATTAAATTGCTAAACGAAATTAATCAATGATCATCTATGAAGTGGTAGATTAAATTGCTAAACGATATTATTCAATGATACGATATTATTCAATGATCATCTATGAAGTGATAGATTAAATTGCTAAACGAAATTAATCAATGATGATCATCATCATCTATGAAGTGATAGATTAAATTGCTAAACGAAATTAATCAATGATGATGATCATCATCTATGAAGTGATAGATTAAATTGCTAAACGAAATCAATCAATGATGATGATCATCATCTATGAAGTGGTAGATTAAAAAATTTTAAATTCTCAAGTGATGGTAAATTTAAGAGGCAAATTTAAGAGCCATCCTCTTTTGTTCAACAGGTTTGTTTCTACACC